TGCTTAAAGGTAAAGGGACCCCGACCATTAGGTCCAGTCGTGACCAACTCTGGGGTTGTGGCGCTCATCTCACTTTATTGGCCAAGGGAGCCGGCGTACAGCTTCCGGGTCATGTGGCCAGCATGACTAAGCCGCTTCTGGCGATCCAGAGCAGCGCACAGAAACGCCGTTTACCTTCTCGCCAGAGCGGCTCCTATTTATCTACTTGCACTTTGACGTGCTTTCAAACTGCTAGGTTGGCAGGAGCAGGGACCGAGCAACGGGAGCTCACCCCGTCGCAGGGATTCAAACCGCTGACCTTCTGATCGGCAAGTCCTAGGCTCTGTGGTTTAACCCACAGTGCCACCTGCATCCCTGATTAGTGATTTTATAATTTGTTTCCTCAAAATGCAAGTCTTGCACAGCCCATCGATGGAGTTGGCGTCATAAATTTGTCATGGGGTGGGAAAGGAATTTCTCAAAGCCTCTACATTTGTTTATACATACTGCATTCTCCTCCCCCCCCCCCGCCCCAAAGCCCCAATAATAGGCTTGGATGGGAATAACATTCAAGGGACATGGAAATCAAAATTGTTGCAAGAATTCTAAGCTACAAATCCTCCCTATTTGTTGGGGTGTTAGAGGAAAGGATTTTCATAGTAATGGGGAACATATTTGGGGAAAGTTTTCGAATTGTGTTAAATGGGTTCCACATTCAATCTTTTTCAAAGAAAGTCTGTAGAAATAATGGGTTCTTGCACTTAAGTATGACTAAAATCAATGGGACAAGGTAACTTCTGGTGAGACTGTCTCAACAATTTCAATGAGATTTAAGTACCATGTAACGTTCTGAGGGTGTTATGAGATGAAGTGGGCTTTCCACATTGCACACTTATCCTGGGAGATGAATCACAATGGATTATTAAGCAATGGATTTTATCAGTCTGTGTTCTGATCACATGTTTGCAATCTAGGCATGTGGTTTTGTGAGTGTTTTGATGTATGTTGTCAGTTACCCTACACTTTCTAATTCAGTTTCTGGACATTCGACTGCTGCTTCAGTGAGGTCTGGAGACAACATCCGGGCAGTATAACCAGCTTCAGCAATTTGCTTTCTTTATCAATCCTTTAATAGTGCAGCGAGCAAGTTATGAAATAGGACTGCCTAATAACAATTCACATGTCACATTGTACACTCCTTTGTGATAATCACAGGGTGTTCTATTCAGAACAGAAACATGTGAACAACTCATAGGCTAAACTAGTAGAAACAACACCAAACCAATATTAATCAGAAACAAGCAAGTATTGTGGGGTTGCATAGGGCAGGTATCTTCAACTTTTCCAGCACCCAAACATGCATTTGGGGATCCATTTCTTAATCTTTTACCATATATTTGCATGGTGGTAGTGCTTCTACAGTGACCCGCTTTGAATCAGGTTAAGCCATGACCCACCAGTTGAAGACCAGTGGCAGAGGTTTTCAACCTTTCTGAGTCCACGGCTCCTTGACCAGCTCCTTTGGTACCCTTGTGGGGCTTAGGAGCCCAGTTATGTCACCCCTTGCCTAGGGAGCTGGCCGCCTCTCACCCTTTTTCTAACACCCTCCCTCGTGGAGTGTTCACTCAGCCTCCTCTCCACTCCCCTCTCTTTGGGAGACTTCCGGGCAGCTGCTGCTGCCACCCCTGGTCTCTGAGCTGCCACCCCATCCCTTCCAGAGGCACCGTTTGCCTGCAGAGCTAGTAGCCAGAGCTGCTGCAATAAACAGCTGTGCAAGCCTTGGGGAAGCCAGATGCGAAAGGGCATCAGAGGAGGGGGAGGGAAGGAAAGAGGGACAGAGGCCAGTGCTGCCTGCAGCACCCCTGACCATCATTCAAGGCACCCCAGGGTGCCACAGCACACTGGTTGAAAACCACTTGCATAGGGATTTGTGCTTGTGGTGTTATATGGGCAGTTATAAATAAAGAAGAGTTTGGATTTGATATCCTGCTTTATCACTACCTGAAGGAGTCTCAAAGCGGCTAACAATCTCCTTTTCCTTCCTCCCCCACAACAAACACTCTGTGGGGTGAGTGGGTCTGAGAGACTTCAGAGAAGTGTGACTAGCCCAAGGTCACCCAGCAGCTGCGTGTGGAGGAGCAGAGACGCGAACCCAGGTCACCAGATTACGAGTCTACCGCTCTTAACCACTACACCAAACTGGCTCTCATACTTTCAATAGCATTGGCTCTTGGGTGGGGGGCATACTGCTTTGTTTGCAATAGGTGTATGTCCTGTAGTTTCCTGCTAACATCCTGTAACTTTTAATACCACAAATGTTCCGAGGTTATGGTTTCTTTGTGTCCCTCCAGACTGCAATAATGCGGTGACATTAGGGAAGCATCCAAAGCCACAACTCTGTCCAGGAGGCCACAGTGCGCTCACTACCTGTGTGATGAATAACTAACCAATTCCATTAGTTTTCTCTGCTGGAACTGTTTGAGGAGTGCAAGTTGTAACACGGTAGTAGCCTTCTGAACCCAGAACAAGAGAAGTGGGATGGCGTAGAAAAGCAATAGTTTATTTTCCTTTTGAATGAGAACATAACAAAGGAGAAGCATGTTGTAATCAAATTTTAAATAGTTCTCTCTTAAGCCACTGCAAGAAGCCCTGGTCAGGAATTTTTCATGACATGGTTTATAGCCTAAAAGAGCCCGTTCGAGCCACAGATTCCAAGCCAATGGCCTCAAGGAAGGATTTAATTTAGTGTCTCTGAAGTTTTTGGCATGGCCTCCAATACACCAATTCTCCCCTCATATGGGAATAGCTGATGAAGTTCAGCAAAATGCATCTTAGGTCACACTTTCCCTGGCTGGGTGTTGTAATGTAAGCAAAATACAACTTCAGCCGCTGTGAATCATTTGATGGCATGTTCAGCAGTGCCCAGAACTGTTGCATCTTGGCAGAGAATGAGATGACAAATTCCACAGCCGTATGGTGTGAATGTAATCACAACAGGGTGTTTCCACTGAATCTTGACTGGTTTCTTATGGCACTTGCTCCTCAGGCAACTCCTTTGGGGTGTTACTGATGTGGGCTGCTTCACCCAATTATTTATATTTCATCAAAAGCTGGTGTTCAATGTTATATTTTTTAATTCTGCAGAGTCTAGTTACAGGGCGTGAAATTCTTCACTGAACAGAGGTACTAAAACAAAATGGTTTTATCTTTATTCAGTTTATGGGATCAATGTTGCGAAAGATCCCAGTTTGCTAAGGACTGCTTAGCCTTGCTTCTTATAAGTAACCCAACTGAAATAAATGGGAATTATAGCCAACATTTTGCAGCAAATAATAATTCACTTCTAGCAATGGAAGTAATACAGCTCACCTTGCCGCTCTTACATAGATCTGTTGGTCTCACCTGCACTAAATATTGAAATATTATGCTAAAAGCTTAATTGCCTAATATTGATTATAACTTGCATTACACTCCCCCCCCTTGTTGTCTCAATTCCAGATCTATGGGTTTGGTCATGGTTTCTTAGTGCTGAGGAAAATGCATTCTGCACATGCTCAGTGTCCCCGTCTTACTGCACATCTCCCAGGACTGAGTCTTGCCATGACAGTGGTGTGTTGGGGTTCAGAAGTTCTGAGATTGGTGAACCCGGATTCAAATAATACCTTGATCCTCTCCTTTCCCCTCCCAATGCCTTTTACAGTGGTACCTCGGGTTAAGAACTTAATTCGTTCCGGAGGTCCGTTATTAACCTGAAACTGTTCTTAACCTGAAGCACCACTTTAGCTAATGGGGCCTCTTGCTGCCGCTGCGCGATTTCTGTTCTCATCCTGAAGCAAAGTTCTTAACCCGAGGTACTATTTCTGGGTTGGCAGAGCCTGTAACCTGAAGCGTCTGTAACCTGAGGTACCACTCTATTCTACTCCTGGGTCAGTTTTATCTGAGAGATTGACAATGGGCTGCTTAACAACCAGAGAGTTTCTTTGTCCTGGTCACCTTCACATGGGATGATGGTTATAACCCAGCATGCCATTTTGCAAATCAGGGGGCTTCCCTTAAGGCATTACCTAGTTCCAGAAATAGCTATCGGGTGGCTGGGGCCTTATGTATCTGGCATTGTACCCCACTTTACAGAGACTGAGAGTGATTCTTGTGGTGGTTGAAAGAGGCACAGCCCCATCAGCTGATGTTTCAGCTCATTACCACCTGAAGAACGGAAATCTTCTACAAGCATTTAGTCTTGGGGAATATTTCTAGCCAGACAGAAGTTAGTAACTAATCATGAAAAATATCTATTGTTATCGTGATGACAGACTTCTTCCTCCTGCCCTCCAATGTATATTCCAAAACACTATGTTCCAAAGGCTAACTAACAGCACAATCCTAACCATGTCTACTTAGAATTAGGCCCTATTGAATTCCTGGGCTTACTCACAGGAAAGTGTGGTTTGGACTGCCGCTTAAGAGGAGCTTCGCTTGATGTTACTGTCATTGGCTTAGCTGCTTGGACGCCGAGTGGCAGGCCCAGGGAAGAAGACTGCAAAAAGAAAAGAAGCAAGAAGTTGCCTGGAAAAGGCAGGAGGGGAGTGGTTCATCCATAGGCCTGAGGGAAAGCCAGTGAGAGGAGACAGAGGCAAACTACACACAAATGTGAGGAAGCCCTGGTAGCAGGTGCTAAGAAGAAGAAGAAGAAGAAGAAGAAGAAGAAGAAGAAGAGAGGCAGCAGCCTTTGGAGGTTCTGGTTTTCAGCCAGAAAATGGGAAGGGGGTGGTACAAAGATGTACTTAACCCTTTCCCTAAATAACCCCCCCCTGCCAACTACCTATTTCTACAGGGTCGCTGTTAGGTTTACAAAACACTAACAGCGTGTGCTTCCGGCAGCCAGTGTAGGGGCATAGCTGTAAACGTTTCCCTTTTTTAAAGGGAAACGCCCTTATTCCAAATAGGATTCCTCACAAGAAAAGGGGAAAGGTGACAGCTATGTGTAGGGGTCACACTGGTACCTGTGAGACCAGCATTCAAATCCTCATAAAGCTCACGTGGTGGCCTGCGAGTAATTTTTTTGTTGCCGCAGCCGCCCTTAGGTTGGTCTGGTTGCTATGAGTCTGCCTCTCAATCCAAAGCCCTTCCTAAACGGGCTGACTGGGAAGCCAGTGATGGTGAAGCTGAAGTGGGGGATGAAATACAAAGGCTACCTCGTCTACATCGATGGCTACATGAAGAATACAGAAGAATATATTGATGGTGCATTATCTGGACACCTTGGTGAAGTTCTGATAAGGTGCAATAATGTCCTTTATATAAGGGGTGTGGAAGAAGAAGATGGAGAAATGAGAGAATAACTATTTTGGGGGGAAAGTTTTTGTTGGTTTTTAACGGTGCTAAGAAATTTAGTTGTCCGGTTTTGTTTGTTTGCTTTTTGAAGGTTTCGTCAAGTAACATTTTTTATGGCCAAAAAATAAACATTGTTATGGAAGAAAAAATAAAAAATAAAGCTCATGTGGTGATCTTTAGCTAGTCAATGTCTTAAGCCAAACCTACTACCTTGTTGTGAGGATAAAATGAAGAGGGTAGAATCATGCATGGCACCCCTGGGCACCTTGGAAGAGAGGTGGGAATGTAAAGAACAAATGAAACAAATGAATAAGCACACAGAACTCCATGGGCAAGGGAATTCTGAAGAGAAAAAGAGTCACCAGGGAAAGGGATAAGCACATGTGTGTGTGTGTTTGTGTGTGCGCGCGCACCCACCCACTACACCTCCACTCAGAAATTGCACCCTCCTGAGAGGGGAAGGAAATTGCACAGAGTAGCTGGGCACATGTTCAGAAGCTGCAGGTGTGAGAGAAGCCCACTGAATTTAAATAACTATCCACATTTTTGGCTCTTGGCCTCTATCCAGCTTGCATTTGCATAGTTCGAGTTGCTGTTAGTGGCACAGGAGCCAGGGCCAGTGAATAAGCTGGCAACCCTGTCAGCCCTCCACATTTTATGCTTTGAAGAACTAATTGGTTTGGTCAGCTGAGAGCAAATTCTGTGTCTAGTGCTATCCGTCAGCTTCATGTGAATGAACTAGTGAATAGCATGTAATTTAATAGTCACAGATGATGGAAACTTGGACTACAAGATCTGTTTCCTGATTAGTCACTGCCAGTTCATATCCCATCAGTGCGTATGTGAAGTTTGATTGTTTTGTCCTAATGTGCATAACATTACGCTGACATGTTTGTCATTTTGTTGCCCGTTCACCCACTTTTGGAAATTATTTTGGAGGCCTTTGAGGTCTGTTTGGGTTTTCACAATCCTGAATAATGCAGCAGCATCTGCATAACTGGCTACCTTACAGCTCACCCCTGACTGCCGCTTTTTTTGTGAATAAAAAAACAGCACCAAGCTCTCCTCTGTTTTCGTTTTATTCATTTGTAGTAAATGACTTCCATTCATTTGCTATGTTAAATTTGAAATTCTGTCTCTCATCTCTTAACAATTTCCCTGTAATTGGCCCTAATATTTGGATTTTTTATTCCTTCTGGTATCCATGCCACTTCTTCGCTTGTATTATAACAGCTTATCAAAACCTTGCTTTCTTTGTCCAAGACTGATTTCCTTTTACTTCACTGATATCTTGTAGCTCCCCATTCCCCAGATTATAAACCATTGGGCAGGACTCATTGGGTTTTTCCTTTGGAAAGCATCTAGTTGTAGGCATCATTTAAATCATGAGTGGGAACATTTTCCAGCCCTAAGGCCACATATTTACCTTCTGGGAAACTTATTGAGGACCATATATGAGTGGTGGGTGGGGTCAGAGCAGTGCCAGATTTACATATAAGCTAAACAAGCTATAGCTTAGGGACCCACTCTCTTGGGGCCCCCAAAAAAATTTAAAGGAAAAAAACCTGGATACACATTTCCAAAATATAAGATAAAAAACAAATAAATAAAACCTACATACAGCAGCAGTGTTTTGTGCTGTGTAGGCTCCTATGATGTAAGTAATGGGCCCCGCCTAATAGCCTGCTCCCTAAAATATCACATATTTTGTTATGTGCAAATGGCTTTAGATACCTATTAGGTCCATAAGTTACCATATAGCATATATTCAACACACACACACACACACACACACACACACACAGCGACAATTTGTTGTTGACAAAGGGCAGCTGGACATATGAAGGGCCCCTTTACCTTCAGTAGCTTAGGGCCTCATCAAACCTAAATCCGGCCCTAGGTCAGAGGCAAAAATAGATGGATCAACATTATTTTTTTAAAAAGCATGTTCAGTAGGGTAGTTTTACACATGCTAACACTCACCCCCTCTCCTTGGTCCAGATAAGCAAGAGGCAACATCAGAGTTCAAGGATACATTCCAGCTACACAACAGTGCTTGGTGGTTGCAGCAGGACCAACGAGGAATGAGGCCTAGGGAGAGTTCAGAGGAGAAGCTTGAGAGGATGCATGAACCTCCGTGGCCTCAGGTTCCCCACCTCTGATTTAAACATTGCCACAGAGGTTTCTGTGATCTCATGGCAGGACTCCTTCCATTGCAGAAATTGCTTGCAAACTGCGGCTGTCTGGCATTTCTCTATATGCTTTATATGCATGGCAGCATTTCCCCATGTGATTTTGTGCAACAATGGCATCTTCTCCATGAAATGGTGTGCAGGACCATATGTGTAAAAGCTGCCTTATTCTGAGTTAAGATTATTGCTCCATCTAGTTCAGTATTGTCTACACTGACTGGCAGCAGCTCTCCAGGGTTTCAGACAGGGAGTCTTCCCAGCACCCTCCGGATATGCCAGGGATTTAACCCGGGACCTTTGGCATGCAAAGCAGATGAGCTAAACAGCCTTAACCCCCAGAAGGTTCCAAATGTTCCTTTCGAATGCCTTGTGTGAGAGAGAGACCCAGAGGGAAGAAATGTTGGGCAGAGAGAGCGTACACTCCTGCCCCACTGCTTATCAGCTATAAATTCCCCTCTCCCCAAACTGCTTTCCACAAGTTGCATGGAGCCTATATTTAGCCCCAGAGCTTTTATTCTTTCCCTGTGCCTGCAGAGCCCTCTGTGTGGCACCATTTTGGGTAGCATATACTTGCAAGAGCATGCTCAGGGATGCATGGTGTGAATAACAAGCTGCTATGGCTGTGGAAGAGAGAGATCAATCAGATTCAGTGAGGGCTACTTCTACTTCCTGTATATTAGCACGGTGGGAAATTGGTAGATTTGGCAACTGTCTCTTCTGACTTTGAATCAGCAGGTTTCAACAACTTAGATATACTTAAAACTATAAGATGATTGTTTTTAGACTCTGGACTGAATGATCTTATGCGCCTATCCCCACCAGTCTTTAGATGGTAATGTGCACTGTTCTACTTACTTCAAAATGGGTAAGTCAGCCCTGCTGCTCATTCTACCGACTGGGGCCCTGAAGCGTGCCTGAAAGTCCTGCCCTGATGGCACCCGCTGTATTTGCACAGAGTCAGGGTGGGTGAGCAGAGCTAAGAGTTTGAATCAGGAGTCAGGCAAGGGTGCTGTGAAGTTTGTGTGTGCCTCAGATTCCTGCTAAAATAAGAAAGCTTTAAAGGAGGGGAGCAAACTCTGTCTGGTGTTGACATGGACTAAGTCAGGATTGGTCAACCTTGTGTGCCAGGGGGTGTGATGTGCACCCCAGAGGCGTGGCCCACACTGCCACCAGTGGGGGCATGGCGCCCAGCACCAGGGGGGCCCAGCCTCAATGGCACCCCACTGGGATCGTGCCGCCGGGGGTGGTGTGCTCCCCCCCATCCCTGTTCCTCTGCCAGTGTATAGTGCATGTGTGCAGACGTTGGGTATTGCACCCCTTTTATGCCGTTTTCTCACACCCACCTAGTTTTGAAAATATATTTGTGGTCCTTTCTGCATGCTGGCTCTATAGTAACAGCCAGCCAGGCTGCCTTCACCTTAATGTAGTATCACCATTCACTCAGTGAGCAGCAACTAGTCTGCATCTGGCTGCACCAGTCCCTGATGGGGACCCTCCAACTCCAGTCAAGGTAAAAAGTAAAGGACCCCTGGGCAGTTAAGTCCAGTCAAAGGTGACTATGGGGTTGTGGTGCTCATATCACATAAAACGAAGGAGCTGGGGTTTGTCCACAGATAGTTTTCCGGGTCATGTGACCAGCATGACTAAACCACATCTGGCACAACGGAACACCATGACAGAAGCCACATGATGCTCACCTCCATTTCTGTTGATGTCACTACTTCTGACCCCTCAGATACCTATTTATCTACTTGCACTGGCATGCTTTCAAACTGCTAGGTTGGCAGGAGCTGGGACAGAGCAACAGGAGCTCACCCCATCAAAGGGGTGAACCAGCGACCTTCTGATGGGCAAGCTCAAGAGGCTCAGTGGTTTAGACCACAGCGCCATCCGCTCCAGCCAAGGTACACAATGTGAGCTCCTCATAAAATGCAGTTCCCATCAGGGGACTGGAATAGCCACAAGAGTTAGAGGCATGGTGTGTGTGTGTGTGTGTGTGTGTGTGTATATGTGTGTGACAATAGTAAAGACTGCTAGTTACTGGAGGCTTTTGGCGCCTTCTTCACAAGCCCTGGTCTACATGTCCTCTGCCAGAGCCCCCCCCCTTGCTGCTTCTCTCCCTCCATGTTTATGCCTGATCCCTCCACCCTTTCCCTGTGCCATCCCCTGCAGGGCCAGCAGTTCAGCCTTCATCCTGCATCAGTTCACGGAAGCAGCACAGATAGCAGCATTATTTATTGAAAACTTGATGTGCAGGTGTGCAGTGAGAAGGAGCATCCATTATTTTTTTTTAAAATGGGACTGTCATTTCCATGACCATTAGCCCAAGGAGAACAAAATGGAAGGGAAAGCATCCTTCCCACAATTCCACTGTAAAGCCAAAGATGGAATGGGGGAAGGGAGGGGAGGGAAAAGGTGCCAAACTGGTTCTGCAGGACGGAAGCCACTCCTCTCAAAATACTAATAATACCACACTGCTGATTCACAGGACACAGAAGGCAGTGGCAAAATGCAGTAACTCAAAGTTGGCGTAGAACTAGTCTGAGAAATCTCAGAATGAAGAATCAGAAGTACAGTAGTGACATAAGTACTTCCCCTCTTTCTTTTTCCTTTTTCCTTTCTCCTCCTGTGATGAGGCTGCATTTTAATATTTTAATGTTTCAATATTTTAATGTTGTATTTTAATCTTGTTTTTAACTTGTATTCATTCAACTTGTTTTTATTATTGCTTGTTAGCCACCCTGAGCCCGACCTTGGCTGGAGAGGGCGGGGTATAAATAAAAAAATATTATTATTATCATCATTATTATTATTATTATAAGTAACCCCAC